ATCCCAGGAAGACCAAAGGGAAGTCTCCTAAGTTGTCTTCTCCATGACCAATATGGCCAATATGACATAGTGGATCGTCTCTCATACGTGACTTTCCGGATAAAATGTGGTCAGCGAGGTAAGCCAAAGGTGGTGCATGCCAACAGGCTTTGGCGTTATCACGGTCCAGGACATTTCAGTTGGGATGAAGTGAACAATGGAACAAAAGGCGCTGCTGAAGACGTGTCACCTGAAAAAGCCACTGTCGAAGAAGAAACTCTATTCGGTTTTGAGAAGGGAAACAGTGAAGCCCTTGATGAAGTTACTATTACTGATGGGACTGTTACCAATGATAGGACGTTTTGTGATGAAGCAGATGAACCCCACATGAAGCAGAAGCCAACGAGACAGAGACCAGTGCGGAAAAAGATACGTCCCGAAAAATTAAAAGACTTTGTTGAATTTTAATTTTGTGTTTGTAAATTTTGCACATTTAATTAAGCTATTGTTAATTGTTTATTTGTTTAATGGTGGCTATTGTTCGGGACGAACAATACTAAGGAAGGGGCAGTGTTACGACAGTGGGGGGTCGCTAGGACAGCGCGGTCACGTGACAAGTATTCTAGAAGATTCGCTAGTGTGTTGCAACAGCGTTGCGTCAACCGACGCTGGTAGCACTCTCCGCTACTGCTTCAACTCCGTCTATCTCTCTCACTGTCTAGCGCACTTATATACGATAATACTGCCTGTTCTAGAAACTTCTAAGACTCTCAACACCAGAGAGAAAGAAAGACAGCGATTACGGTCGGCGGGAACCGAGGATAGCAGACACACAGATCGGAACTATAGTTGGCGGGGACGGACAATTAAGTCTAAGCGCGATAGAAAGTGAGTGAATTGTTGTGAACTATAGTGTGTGTAACTGTGAAAATTAAGTACATTACAAAGTTGTATTGAGGAAGAATAAACAAGTTTTATAAAGAAAGGACTTGTATCGTAGAAGAATTAACAAGCAAACATACAGAGACGTAACAGTATCTACGAATCCGCGAAATAACCATCCATCCACGTTACAACCACACCCGTTTTAAGATCATTTGTGTGTTAATCTTTGTGGCTTTTTATTTATTGTTGGCTTACTTTATTTCCTTTTAATATTCATTATTCCCTTTTCTACTTATGCTTTGTATTTGATGTTTATCATTAGCCGTGCTAATCATGTTGTGATATGCTTGTATTTTTCTTACTGTTAGGTCAGAAGTTCACGTTTAATAATTAATAAAACAACTTTTAAGTTATGTCATAGCATCAAATCTTGGGCATAATTTTAGTTCTTTATTAAATTGTTTTAGATATAGGGGTTATAAATCAGATATTCTGATATGATTGAAGTAAAACTGTAAATTATCTGTGTATTTATCTAAATTATTTTTTCGTGTGCAGAAAGTGATCGGGATAATCACCATTATTCTAGACAAGGGATGTTAACTCTTTTTCTCATACCTGAATACAGAGAAATGGTAAACTAATTCAATTCACCTGCAACAAGGGATTTTTTTTTAATCTGGCAACTGTTATCTATCTTATTAAAGGGTAGAAACTATAAAGTGTCACTGCTGTAATGTAAAAACAAATGGAAAAATTTAGCAAATACCTATAAAACGAAGGCAATAAAATCTATGATACAGAAAAAAATTACTACAGTATAGATATTGGACACTTGAGAATAAAACTGTATATATGCTTTCACTAAAACTGTGTACAAGATGTGACAGATTAGTTTTTATTATGTTATAAATTTTCACTATTTAAGTTCTGTTAAATAATCTCAACTTGGCCAACAGAATATTTTTCTAGAAAGACTCTGAAGAGCAAGATTTACTGTTTGAAAACAAGCTTCCACAGTTGACTTTCAAACACCAAATTTGGCCAGGTGGTTAGGGCACAATCTGAGGGTCGCGGGTTCGAATCCCCGTCCCGTAAACATGCTCGCCCTTTCATCCGTGGGGGCGTTATAATATGACGGTCAATCCCACTGTCCGTTGGTAAAAGAGTAGCCCAAGAATTGGCGGTGGGTGGCGATGACTAGCTGCCTTCCTTCTAGTCTTACACTGCTTAATTAGGGACGGCTAGCGCAGATAGCCCTCGTGTAGCTTTGCGCGAAATTCAAAAACAAACAAACACCAAATCTGTCACTCACTGATCAAGAATAAGTTGAATAGAAATCATGAGTTAGAGTTAATGATCAGTAGGGATATATAATCAAAATACTCTGAGCGGTGTTACCTCTTATATCAAAATTCAAATGTCTTTTGTTTAAAGAGTAATTTATTCGTGCTACATTAATGTAACGATACATTACTTCTTTAGTGTTGAAATAAACTATTATTACTAAGTTTTAATCCTACTATAAATTTTGATATTGATAATTCAACTGAAGGTATTTCCATAATCACAAATGCATATAATTAAGTATACTTATTATAATTACCTCATTCACCTCAGAATTTAAAACCAAATTTCTAATATGTAATTACTGCTTTGGTAATACAACGACATAACTAAAAAAGAAAAACCTGAATGTTTAAACAGAAAACCTACCTGAATGTTTACAAATTGGCTAACATGTTGTTCACTAGTTGTCTCTCAGCAGCAACCAAGTCATCCTCTCATTCCCTGAATTTGCTTATTACTGGGATAATTTTAAAAATGAGAGATTCAAACCTTGGTTGCATTATTCTAAAATAGGTTTTTAATTGATCAAAAGTGTATCTTGTTTGTTTTTGTTTTGTTTGTAATTAATCACAAAGCTACACAATGGGCTATCTGTGCTCTGCCTACCACAGGTATCAAAACCCGGTTTCTACCAAAGTGTATTTTTTAACAATGTTCTCAGTATACTTGTGGAACCTCTGTGTGATAGACTGCTTCTTATTTATTTTATTTTGTTGAGGTAAAGCTGTCATAACAATACTGTCATCTTCCACATTGCATAGATTAAAACAAAGAGAATTTACTGTAACAAATTTACAAAAGATTGTACCCCAAAAAATGTCTTTAACATCTTCTTTTACCATTTGTAAAAATTTCGTTACAGGTTTTTCGATAAATGACAAATTTGCGAGAAGGCTGTGATGTCATCAATTAAAAAGTGACAGTACTGAAAGCTTACTACATTAATAAATGCAAACCAAGATTATAATCCTTAGAAAGTTCACAATGACTTCAAGAATCTGGTAATTTCTGTCAGTATCTAGAGAAAATGGTACACATGTGTGTTTGTTTGCACCCTAACTGCTCCAAGTCTATTGGACCAATCTCAAACAAAATTTGTATGCAAATACTATGAACTATGGGGAATTTCCTAAGTAGTAAAAATTGAACTTAATTCTATTTCTATTTTATAAAGCCTGTTGGTCAATTACTCACAGCCTATTGAGTCAATCTCAAACAATAGTGGCAGGTTGATGCTTTAGACAACGTTGAATATTCAAAAGGGTTTCAAGGTCAAAGTATGGAAATTGCTAGATTGTTTCTCAAACAACCATACTTTTTTCATGATCAATGAGATTTAAGGTTTTCAAGGGTTGGATCACCTCACAATTTATATTTGTTGGTAGATGGGAAGCAAGCTACAAATGTTGTTTGTGAAAAAGATTTGTAGTAATTTGAAAATTTTGAAAAAAATGTTATGTTCAAGTTATTATTTTGAAATATATGATTACTGTTAAACATACACTGTTTTAATCTGTAGCAAAAACTGAAAACATTTAAAAAGGAGAACAGTTTTGGTCTTTCTATTTGTATTTGTTATCACAGTCAATAAGAAAACAGTTCTGGTATCCCTATTGTATTTGTTATCACAGTCAACAAGAAAACAGTTCTGGTATCCCTATTTGTATTTGTTATCACAGTCAACAAGAAAACAGTTCTGGTATCCCTACTTGTATTTGTTATCACAGTCAACAAGAAAACAGTTCTGGTATCCCTACTTGTATTTGTTATCACAGTCAACAAGAAAACAGTTCTGGTATCCCTACTTGTATTTGTTATCACAGTCAACAAGAAAACAGTTCTGGTATCCCTATTTGTATTTGTTATCACAGTCAACAAGAAAACAGTTCTGGTATCCCTATTTGTATTTGTTATCACAGTCAACAAGAAAACAGTTCTAGTATCCCTATTTGTATTTGTTATTACAGTCAACAAGAAAACAGGTCTGGTATCCCTATTTCTAGTTATTCACATGGCCAACCAAAACCAGTTCTTGTCCTCTTAAAATGGTTAAACAAAAACCAGTTTTCTTTTTCCTATTTGATGATGTTAATCTTGTCAAAAAGAGAACAGTTCTGATCTTCATAATTGCAATCATTAACCTTGTCAAACAGGGAACAGTTTTTATCTAATGGTTTAACAGTTGTTAACCAAAACAGAGAACATTTTTGATCTTCAAGAGAATAGTTTTGGTCTTCCTACTTGCAATTGTTAACCTGGCCAAAGAGAGAGGAGATTTGGTCTTTGTATTCACACTTGTTAACCTGGTCAAACAGAGAAGAGTTTTGTTCTTGCTATTTGCAGTTCTTAGCCTTCTCAAATAGATAAGAGTTTTGTTCTTGCTATTTGCAGTTCTTAGCCTTCTCAAACAGATAACAGTTTTGATCTTCCAATTTTCAGTTGTTAACCTGGTCAAACAGATAACAGTTTGATGTCTGTTTGGCCAAGTTAACAACTGTAAATACGAAAACCAAAACAGGTTTCTTTTTGACCAGCTTAACAACTGCAAATAGAATGAACAAAGCTTTTCTTTGTTTGGCCAATTTAACAACTGGATGTAAAAAGACCAACACTGTTCTTTCTTTCATCAAGTTAACAAATGCAAACAACTGTAAATATGAAAATCATAACAAGTTTCAGCTTGACCAGTTTAACAACTACATATAGGAAGACCACAAAAAATGATGTTCTCTGTTAGGGCAGTTTAACAACTGCAAATAGGAAGACCAGAACTGCTCTCTGTTTTACCAGTTTAACAATGGCAAGTAGCTTCGGAAGACCAAAACTGTTCTCTGTTAGACCAGTTTGAAGTTGTTTATCTGGTCACACCTTGGAGGGAGGCAGATGGGAATTGCAACCAGTTCTTGACATTTGATAAATGGATTTTGGTTAACAAGATATGTACTAATAAATGTTTCCTCCATTCTTGTGTTTCAAAATTTGTTGAATAGCTGTAAAAATGTCTCATAGTAGGTGCTAATAATGTTTATATGAGAAATAACAAGATGCAGAATAGCAACAGAGTTGAAATAAATGAAAAGTGTAAAGAGCTTTTATAGAATATAACTGTCAAAACAGAAAAATTAAACTGGAGAAAAAGGTACAGGATACATCACATGAAGAAACAGAATTTCAAGAACTCAATAGGACAGAAAAAATATCTTAAGGTGCTAATTCTTGTCTTTTCAGATGTCAAAGTGGCACCTAGTGAAAATAAAAAACAAAAAACTTCACAATAAAACTGGACATTCAGCTATTTTTATAGCTTAGTGTATGTTAATATGTTTATTACAATCTTAGAGTTTATTCTGTTTTCACTGTAAACTACACCTTGCTTATCATGTGATATGGCAGGAAGGTTTACCAGAACTAAACATCATATCCTGTAATTCTATAGTCTTTCTACCAACCTGTTTTTTTCAGCAAATGTTAGCATTAAAATGTAAGCTAGACAACAGAAAGAACAGCTCTTGTGCATCACAGCAGAAATATAGCTAGTGAATTGATCAGGAACAGCTATTTACCTCTTTTTGAGCAAAATTCTCTAGATAGTTCAGTTGTAAAACTATCTTTAGGAAGAAGAATGAAAAACATATGCAACCAAGAAACACTGTGCTCTAACATATTTCTTTAATATGCTGTTAAATACATGTATTCACTCGAAACAGTTTTTCAGATACCAGGATGTGCCAGAAAGATACGATGTGACTGTATAACGTGATTCCTTATATGAATACTGCAGAAGATTTTGGATGTTTCTGTCATTACTGAGATGAGTGTAAGTACAAGTAAAGGAGTAAAGGTAAGAAAACATTTTATACTTTTCCTGATATTTTATGATGGGAGGCTATAACCTGCTTTCCCTTATCCCATTTATGTTCTATTTATCCTCATTTTTCCACCAGTTGTGTTTTTTGAGAAGGTTTGATGAAAAAACACACCAAGAAAAGCTTTGATGTATCATATACAATTATAACAAAAATGTTTGGAAGTTATTCTGAACAAAATCATTAGGATAAAAATAACCTAACACTAAAAACCTTCAAGTTCACACAGCAATCATTATTATTGCTTACTTGCAAGTTATGTTACTTGTTTTTAATTTAAAATACCTTTGTCCTAGTTTAATCCATTCATGTAGTTCAGCAGAGAAAACATTTACTCAGATTTTCCTTATACATGATATAAGAACAAAAAAATTTGGTGTATATCACTGGTGAATATTAAAACTTACAAAATTTGGTAGATCATACTAGTAATCTAAATTGCAAAATAAGATAGACAACAGGTCTAAACATTTTAAAGTTACAGCTGAATAACACATTTTTATTTTAATAACATCAAATTGTTAACATGATTAGATCACTACAAAAAATTAAGTTTATTTACAACCAAAATTATAAAATATTTTAAAAATATTTGATGTAATGAAACTACAAAACCCCCAGAAACATTCAAGAGAAGATCCCAAAATATAACTTTTTTCTTTACTTTGAGATTATACTTACTTGAGATTACATACAGATCATGCTGATTATCATCACTCATTACAACTTTAGTTAAACAGTTATTTTGTTCGAGACATTTTTTGTGTTATCAAATATTTGAGTGGACTTCTCTATTTTGATTTATGAATATTGCATTTTTTCACACCTAATCAAATTGGCAAAGATTTGAACATAAAGTTTCAATTACACAATTAAAGCCTCTGAATCTAAGTATCTCGTATCAAATGACAACATCATCCGAAAACAACCAATATCACATACCTCAAGAGTGTTTTTATTACTTTTTTGCAAAAATAATTAATTAATTCTGTAGAGCTTTGAACTCTAACATATGTATCTATACTTTTGCCTTAACATCAAAACAGGAAGGGAACAATGGCATGAGTACTGGAATCAGTGAAGGAAAGAAAAAAGAAAAAAAGAGAAATAACATTGCAGAGAATTACAAATAATGCACAGTGGAAGTTTAGCGTACAACTTAAGCTAATATTTAAGTGAAATATATACATATAACATTAACTTCAACAGGATTCCTCTGGTGACTTTGCTAGTTTTGTGCAGAAACTTGCATTTTTCTGAAAGTTCAAACAAGTCTGTCATGACCTTAAGGGGAAACAGCAATCTGAAAAGATATTTAAAAAATGGAACAAATAAATCCTTTGTTACTACTATTACTGATGATTTTTTTACATCAAATACACCTCCTTTGATCCAACATAAAGTTATTGTTATTACGCATCAAAATATGATTTACCAACATAACTTAAATTTTAAAATGGAAAAAAAGGGAAAATAATTTTAATTACAGACAGAGACTCAGGCCACAAAATGACAGTTAAAAATACAATCGGGTATTTAACAAGGGACTGTTTTTTGAACACCAAAGATATTAATCAAAACATAACTCATCTCAAGAAATCCCTAACTTCTAATTTCTGCATCAGTTTCAGTTCCACATCCTATTATCTGTACAAGGAACTTGTACAAGGGTAATAATTAAAATGAAATCCAGCAATTGTTGACAGAATACATAGTTGATGAATTGTTTATGCTAATTGTCAAGTCACTTTATTTAAAGATGGTTATCTTTAGAGTGGTGATCAGTAGACACCCAAATCTTTAGCTGCTTGTCGCCAAAGCTCTACTCACTCAGTAAAGTTGACAGCTTCAACATCAGTGAGTTAGGTAAGGAGTTACACTTGATGTACCTTTCAATCTTGTTAACACGTTATATCACTCTGACGATTAGCCAACTAGTGGTAAATGTCATTATAAAAGCCTCTACACAACAAAGGTAAAATTACAACTGGACACTAAATGTGTGAATATTAAAAATATCTGTTATCCTTACAATATTAAAAAGAAAAATTTGTACTTGTGGGTACATGTTACACAAGATAATACTTATGGATATAACTTTTACTTGTGGATATATATATATATATATATATTGCCTAACTTTACAAATTTTACTTGTGGATATGTATTGCTCGAAGCAACAATATTTAACGTCTTGACAAATACATTGAATGTTGTTTAGTGTGGTTACTGATTTCTCAAAGACAGTAAACTATAAAATATGAGAAGCAAAAGCTTTTTACATAATAAAGTTAGCACAAAAGTGGTTATAAAATGAACAAGGTTAAAATTTTGGGAATTTTGTTTGACATAACAGAAATCCAAGTTAGATGTATTTTAAAATTTGTCTTTTGCGATAAGAATTATTTTGGACTTGAGGCCATTGTACCTACAGAGAAGTGTTAATTTACTGTGCAGAATATTTCTTTTCCTCACCATGATAAAAATATAGGATCCATCACTAGGTAGAGCTTAATCTATATAGACTGTATATAATATTCTAGGTAAAGCAGATGACCAAACTATAGTGTGTTCAGCTAGTATGGAATACAGTTAAGGATTTGACAGTCTTGCAACTGACAATATAATATTGATCCTCAACCAGCAAGTATTTACTTACTCTCTTCTAAAAGTGAGCTAAATTTTTCTTTAAATATTAGTATAGTTTTGGTATCATTATTTTTGTTGCTTTACGAGATTCCAAAAGCATTAGGTAAATTATTAAATTGAAACTGATAAAAAAATCTATAATTACTTACTAGATCTAAAACAATTTGTAACGTAGTTTTAATATATTAAAATCTTAGACCTTTATCTTATCACTAACCACAGCAAGATGCCCGTCTTTTTCTTTATAAATTGCAGGCTTTATTCCACTTGAGAAGTTTATAATTCCTTGTTTGCCATTCATTAGATTGTGAGGTATACTGAAATATTCCACAGGAAGTATTTTTAATGCACATAAAACAAAGTTAAGTTCACAAAAATTTAGTTTTTGTATTTGTTTATATAACTTAATTAGAAATTTGAAAAAATGCCCAATTCAATATGTATCAAAAAACATTGAAATATTTACCAAAATGAAGCTTAAAATTTATTTAATCTCACACAATTGATAATCAGAACAGTTAAGATATATTTGTTAGAGAAATAAATAAGAGATCCTTAACTGTACAAGGGGAAACAGTTCCAGCTTTGATCATACAAGTCACAAAAAAGAAGGAACTTGTTTAGAAATATACTTGTATAGTAACATCATACAGGTCTCCAAACTGTTGTGCTTGAAAATACCAAAATTAATATCTGCAATACATAGCCTGCTTATTGAGTTTCTAACTGAAGAACTACTGCTAAAAGTATTTTTAGAAAGAGATCTAGTTTTTGAAGGATATTCATACAAATTAAAGCAACAAAATATTTCTGCATCTCACCATAGTCAGTCATTTCTTAGAGAATAACTGATAATAACAAACAAGTACCGTCACACTTACCATCCTGATTCTTCCACTTTTACTAAAGACTTGTTGTTGCTGGCTATGACAATTTTCACAATCACTTCTATCAGCAGATCTCTGCAGTCGAGTATCAAGTCTCCCTAGTATAACAATAAATGGCAGTCATCAATGACACCAGTAATGTGTAACAGAGCTGAACCGTAAAAAGGTAGAGCGTAATATTTGTAAAATATCCAACATTCCCTCACTTCTGTATCTAGTTACTCTTGTGAACAGAAAACAAAATATATATAATATCTGAAAGATGTGGTAATACAAGTCTGTTTACTGTGAGCTGTTCTATTGTTAGGATTACCAGACTGTTTTATTAGTTTTTCCCTCTGTTTTGTCTGCCAACTTGCTTTCATCTTCAGGGAAGTCTTGAGTAAGAGTTTATGAGATAAGAACCAGGGTTAGAAAGGCAGATGTGCTATTCACTCATCTGGGTTCTCATTTTATTTAATTCTATTGGAATGTTTTTGAGAGGGATATCCAGGTTTTGGTGACTTCTGTACAACTTTAATTGAATGTATTATCAGTTATTTGGATGTAGAAGTATTCTTTCATTTTTCTTTTGTGTAGTTCTTATCCTCTTATTTTAGTACTGTTTTACTCCTGAATTGTGATTTCATTAGCCTTTTCTTTGTTTCTTCAGTGTATTGGAGATTACATTCACAAGAATTGTTTTATTTAGTGTTTTTGGTCTTTATTGGATTCTCAAATGGTCTGATTGGTACTAACTGAAATCATATTGTGTTGAATACTATTCTGACTTTGTGCTATTAAGAAATTATTTTTATATTTTCAGAGAAATAATGAGATATGACTGTATATCTAATATGTTATGGCATTTGTTTTCTTTACTTTCTTCTCCATCAAATATTCATGGTATCAACTTTGAAGGAGGGCTGAAGTGGTGTGTTTTTCATCCTTCTTGGCTTCTCTTTTTATTCATATAGGAAACTAGGCAGATTATGAGTTCTTCTATATGAAATTAGAGTGGTTTGATCTACAGTCAGACTATTTGTCAGTATCTTTGGACTTTCTGCAGTATATGAATTATGTGTCTTGATAACAATCATTTCTAGGATTGAAGTTTTTTTATGTTATTTTACTTCCAGTGTGACACTGGATGCAGCTTGTCGAGGAGGTTCATGAACTTTGAAATCTTGTCTCTACATAAACATATTATAAAACTGTTATTAACACATCTCAGCCAAATCCTAGTTCTTAGAGCTGCTGTTTTGAGGTTATCAAGACACACATCTCATATAATGCAGAAGTCTACAAGAAAACACATATATATTGATAAGTACCTCAACTATAAATCAAATAACCACAAAAGTGTAAAGACAGGCACCACAGATAACCTTATCTATAAATTAACAAGACCTGTAATACAGGAGAATGAAGAAAAACACATCATTATAACTTCTCTTGACAACAGATACCCAAAACACTTGATACAGAAAATAAAACCAAGAATAACCATGAAGAAAGTTACAGAAACACAGCCATATCTCCTTACACCCAAGGTCTCTCTGAAAACATCCAGAAGGTATGTAAACAACATAAGTTCAAAACAGTATTCACAGGTCCCAATATATAGCAGAGATGACTGGTATGGGTATTAAAAACTTTAATTAAAATAAAGTAGAAGAACAACATTTCAACCTTCTTAGGTCATCTTCAGGTAACCTATTGCTCTTGTACTTGATTTTACTTAATGTTTTTAACTACACATACCAATGATCTCTGCTATAAATTTTTACTTCAAGCGCATTTCTAATCATCATGAAGTCCCAATATAGTTACTCCACACAAAATTGCCTAAACATTAGATGGAAAGCAAAAAATGATATACAACATCCCTTGTGAAAGTGGACTACAACACACTGTAAGAACAAAAAAGACCAACAAAAGTAGAATTCAGGAGCACAGTATACATACATGGATCTGTAATACTGATCTATCCAATGAAAGAAGATCACAAAGTAAGTTGTACAAAGCTAAAACAATGGGATATGACCTACAAACAAAATTAAAGAAACCTTCTACTACCAATGAACTGGTAACACTCGTCCAGCAACATGACCTGAATATTCCTCTTGAAAAAAAATATACCCGTCTTTCTTAAAAGAGTTAGACCCAGATTTAAATCCAAGCACCTACAATTACATACAGTCATTCTCAGGACTCCCCTGAAATTAGCAACAGCTTAGCATTAAAAACATAAGGTAAAAATAATGTATAACTACTGACAATATAAAAAAAAGGCAATTAATTAATATTTAGAATTAAGTGATCATATATTGACTAACAGCTATGTACTCTTAATTTTTGTTTTTCAGTAAAAGAAGAAAAGAAATTTGGCATATGGGGAAATTAAGACTTAAATAGCACATTGCAGGTATTCTCCTTGTGCTTGTCAACCGACACATAATTTCATTATAAGAATTTGACAGATTTGATAACGATTTTATTTACTATAGTTTTTAAATACAGAAATTCTGTCAGTTTGTATAATTAGCCATGTATAATAATGCCATGTTGTAATTTAGAACTAACAATGTCACATGTACGGAAGTTAGAATTAATAATGCCACATGTACATAATTCATAATTAACAATGCACATCTTCACAATTTAGAACTAATAATGCTACATTGTCATAATTTAATATTAACAATTCCACACCTTCATAACTTACTTACACACTGATTCATGACTGTGATACAAAATATGTTAATCAAAATCTAAGTTAATACTCTGATTAGCAGGACTTCAGTTTATCAACTAATGCTTTCATACTGCTCTAAGAGAAAGGGAAAATGTTTCTATTAACAAAAATAAATCATCATTTATAGAAAGATTAAGTACTTTGTTTGTTTTCGATATACTCATGGAAAGTTATATAAAAGTTATATGTGATAGCTATCCCTAATGTTCAACTGGCAGACTAGAGGGAAAGCAGCTCATCAATACCACCCACTGCCAACTATTGGGCTACTTTTTTACCAACAATTACCTCAAACATTGTGAGTTAAGCATCCTAATCACCAGGCCCTAAAGTACAATGCAACAACAGGGAACAAAAAAATCAGCCATGATCAAATTTACAAAAGAACTTTGAAGACTAACCTTCTCTTTTTTGAGCTCTCTGCATATCCTCAACACTAAGATACCATCTGTCAGATCACTTACAGATAAACCTGATGAACAGAGAGAGAAAACACAGTTACTATAAAATCTAGAAAAGTGTTGAACTGCTTTCTTTTCTTGATGCATAACTATAAAATAGAACTTTTATCACTTTGCTAGGTTTACTCCTATCCCAGCTTGATCAAGTGATATGACTTACTGAATAGGTAAAATATCCATTTTATACTGATATTACAATATAAAAAAAAAGCTTTTCAGATTTGCTGTTTAAAAGAAAATCACCTTCAAAACAACAAAGACTGTTAACTTTCCAGAACTGATTTCTAATACAGCTATCACATCCACTTTTTTAACAAACATAAGGGTAAGTAAAAAAGCCAATAAGTGAAATGAAACTCTGGGACTGTGGCTGGTACCAGCACCTTTGGCTAACAAAGCCAATGTTTTATCTAACTGAGCTTTCCACAAGTACAAGCTGACCATATCTCTCCTCACTCATAAGGTGTTTTTAATTGTAAGTATGAAACTTCATACTACTTTGTGTTATTGTAGTCAGGCAATAAGTGGGTTGATTTACCACCACCACCCAACTAAATCATATATTCATATTATGTATAGTAATAATAAATATATATGTGAGTATAATTAGACTCCTGTGATTTGGTTGGATGGTGGCAAATCAACCTACTAATTGCCTAAGCACAACAATACAAAGTAGCATTAAGTTTAACACAAACATACAATATTCTATAACCAAGTGCTTTTGAAAGTGCGTGGGTTATAGGGTATCATATATTTGTATTAAACTGATTCCTTCAACCTATATGTTTTCCTAACATCATGAAATAGTATTAAATTTCATACTTACAGTTAAAAGCCTTAAAGTGAAGGAAAAAGGAGAGCTTGTTCTCTTAGACAGCTTGGTTAGATGGAACACTGGCCCTGTTAGTCTAGAGTGCTGGTAAAAGCCACAATCCCAGATTTTCTTTTCACTTATTGGCTTTTAAACTTGCAATAATGTTTGTTAAAAAGTTTACTTTCATTGATTGATAATACAAATTAATAATATCTTGGTTTTCTAGGGACAGTGTCATGTTTGTTATAAAGAAACATATTCATTTCTCACTAGATATGTTCTGAAAACTCAGCCTATGTTTCAATTTACAATCCATTTCATCTAGTAGGTAAATGGCTTTGTTGGTCAGCACAAGAATTCGTCCACGAGCCTTGTAACCATGACGATCATATTTTGTCACTTGTACGCAGTACTAGAAAAAAATTAAATTAGAATCAAAATAATTTTCATTAGTGTTATTGTTAAAATGCCTAGATTAATTTTCAACATTATTATTAATTTTTACAGCTATAAATAACATTTTGAAGTCAGTTTATAGACATAGGAGTTAATCTAAATCTTCTACACTGACTGAACTCTTGAAAGATACTGATATTATGATTTAAAATATCATTACAGGCTTTAGTGCATTGATTTCTGACATCATGTACTTCTAGTAGGTTATGTATATGGAACAAGCTTCATTAGCCTTACAACTACTAACTGAGAATAACCTGAACCCCATAGACTTTTTTAAACAAATTATACTGAACTATGTATGCACCAACTTGCTTGTAGGTCCAGGGCTTGGTTGGCTACATGGTCTCTAATAACACAATTCATATAAAAAAAAATAAGCAACAACAACATCACTATTGCAATTAGTAACTGATGTAGAAAATGGATGGTTTCACTGAATTTTGTGGTCAGTTCTTTACGCTGAGTATTGTAACAGACTAAAACAAAATTATTCAATATATTTTGATGCATATATGGATCCCATCATATTGAACAATATAAACATAAACCTGCAATTTGAAAGTTAATTCACAGGTTAGTTTTAAATTCTAACCATAGTGATTAGCCTATTCTTGATCAGAAGACATTAATAATTATGAACACAGACCACATGATGATATGATGAATGTAGCATAAAAAAGAAGTGAACCCAATTAAACTGCTTTCATCAGCAAAACACATGTACACATACATGTTTTTTAGGGTTAACTTTATATTCAAGATGGATTCCTACCCTTTGTTTCAGTCTTAAGTACAGGAAAGGAGAAATACACTATCAAAACTTGAAGGCTGTATGTCTTGTAGTTAAAATAATAGTAAAAAACTGGACTACTTCAGCATATAATATCAGTTCATCAGAAGTGTACAATTAGGTTAACTTTTATAAAGGCGGGTGAGACCAGCCTTCTCCAATCATTTCTTTTTTTTTTTTTGACA